CTCTACCACCGCTTGCAACCTGATAAGTCTGTTGAGGAGATAAATGGGGGTTCTGTAACCCCAGCTGCCATCATTTGCCCAAGTAGCGGGCCCATAATATTGAATGATTCTTTCGACAGGCCATTCTTCCTCGTTCCACTTCTGGTTGCCTCCCGCCATTGGTAGTTCCCGTTTTAATTCCCTCCTTTGTCTGTTTAATGTCTCAAAGAGAGGGGCTCCCAATGATTTACTCTCTGTTTTAGGTAGAGTAAAGAAAAAGGGCCGAATTATTCCAAGTGTGCAGGATCCTTTCCACCTTCTAGGTAGCTCGCTGTATGCCTTTTTTCCACATATCCAATATATGCCATCAGGAGCTTCCCAACCCTTGTTCAACTTTGCCGGATCATCCCAATATTCTTTCAGGCCTATTAGCTCATGGAAGGGATTGGCCCCAGAGTTTTTGTACCAGCAAAGTCCAATTATTTCCATCCATTCACAGTTATTATCCCGGGAGCGACTCCAATAGCCCGCGGGTGGTTCAGGTTGCCAAACTTTTGTTTTGCTGTCAGAATTCACCGTGAGAGTGTTTATACACGGGGTATAGCCTACTAAATCGGTGAATTCTTTCCCTTCTCTGCTAATGCAGAAGGTCCCAATTATTCTTTGATCATATTACCCACCCCTCGGGTCTTCGTGTAGTTTTGGATAATTTTAAACCCTTCCATTTTAAGAGCTGCTCTGGGGTGAGTCCTTCTCCCTTCCATGGCCACCTTTCGGCTGATTTCAAACCACCACATATCCAGCAATTCGATAGACCTAATTCTGTGGCAATCTCTTGTATTAGATCTATGAATAGGTTTTGGTTAGGGCTTGGTAATCCCCAATTATTGTATTGTTTTTCTAATTGGTCATAATGTTCACTGAGAGAGTTAAGTCTCTCTTGCTCCAGCCTCTTTCTTCAGTTCTCTATTTCTTGTCTTTTTAATTCTAAGGTTAGTTGTTTTATTTTGCTTTCTGGATCTAACCCTTCTTCATCTCTAGAAAAACAGAATACCTGGTCAAATTGCAAACACACCCGATCATCATCACTTTTTAACAAATCCAGAATTATGGGTTCATTGCTAAAGGAGGCTTTTTCTTCATGTTTCAAATTTTTACCCTCCCAATACAATTTTCCACCTATAGTACACGTTTTCAAGTTTGCTTTACTATAACATAAGGGATTGATTTTGTAATATGCTATAAATGTGGATTGCCTTTTCCCTCCGATCCAGATGGTTTTATTACATTGACTGCAAATTGAGATCGGAGGAACTCCCCCCACTTCCCTCCTGTACCTGAAGTGGGTTGTCTTGGTCTTTTGTCTCTTAGGAGTTTGAAACTGTCCGTCCTTAAAACTTGCCCCTGGGCGGAAACACCAGACCTCCCCCTTTAAGTTACAAAGATTATACTGAGTGCCATTGGACAAACATAAGCCCTTTCGCAGTTCCGGAGGACAGTCAATCATTCGTTCGGTTCCTGTGGCAGTCCGACACTGCTCACACTTCCCCAGGGGACGCTCCCCTGGAGGTACCTCGGGACTCATTCCCTCGGCCAAGCACATGGCTAGATTCAGGACTGTCAGGATTCCCCACAATTGCATCCCTCTGCCTTGCCCTTCGCCCGTATAGGAACATACGGCGGGGACTACCATCTTCTCGGCAGCAAGGACTGTCTTCAGGGGCCCTTGTAGTCCTTATGGCGTACCTTCTCTTGAAAGCAGCCCACCGAGACGCTTTGATCGTATCTCTCCTACACGGTACTTTAATCGTTTTTCGACACTCAATTACTAAAGCCTCTGCTTTAGAATCTAGTTTGCCTCTCAACCCTTTTTGAAAAAATAGGAACCACTCAGGAGAGTCTAGTTCCAAAAACCCCGCCCAGGTGGCAAGCGTTAGAAAATGGCCAGTTTCCTCCTGTTCCTTTTCTAGACACTTTGTACACAATCCTTTGGGTTTGTATCCCCCCAAACAGTGGGTCACCCAAATCTGTTTACAATAAGCATACTTGAAATGGATAAATGGAAAACAATAACAATCAGGATTAATGCAACTTATCTGCCCGTCACTTGTCATTTGTGATGACGCCGGAGTTTAATTTTCAGTTCTCCCGGAGGGGTGGTGACTTTCCACTCGGAGGAATTGTAATCCGTTACTTTTTTTACCTGAGATGAGTGTGTCCAACCCCTTTCTGCAGTCCGGACTGCGGTATCTGTGGTCAGTAGGATGAGAAATGTTCCTTCCCAGTGGGGGCTGAGGGGGAGCTCCTTCCACGCTTTGATCAGAACTTTATCCCCAGGCAGTATTTGGTGTATTGGAAATCCCAGTGTGGTGCTTTGGGGAATCAGTCCTCTTTTCCGCAGATCCTGTAAATTTTTGTTTATAGAAATGAGATAGGGTTGTATCTGTACATCCTCCACCTGAGGGTGTGCCACCGGCATTCCATGCTTGTACGGCATCCCATACAACATTTCAAAAGGGGATAGACCTGTCTCAGAGTGTGGCATTGTTCTTATATTCAGTAATGCAAGGGGGAGACATTTAATCCAGGACATTTTCGTTTCAATTATAAGTTTAGATAGCTGGGATTTTAATGTTTGATTCATCCTTTCTACCTGTCCTGAACTCTGAGGTTGCCAAGGGGTGTGATATTGCCATCTGATGCCTAGGGCTTCTGATATTTGTTTGATAATTTTTGATGTGAAGTGTGTTCCTTGGTCTGAATCGATATAATCTACTATCCCATATCTGGGAGTGATTTCCTCTAATAAAATTTTCGATACCGTTTGGGCTGTTGCCCTTGCTCTGGGAAAGGCTTCTACCCAATGTGTTAATTTATCTACTATTACTAATAAGAATTTATATCTACCGATTTTTGGTAGCTCAGTAAAATCCACCTGGATTCTTTCAAATGGCCTGTATGAGAGAGGGCGACCTCCCCAGGCTGTTTGCTTAAATTTTGATCAGTTTACTTTTTGGCATATCACATATCCTTGCACCTCCTGTTTGGCGAGTTCAAAGATTCCTTTGCACCCGAAAAATTTTAGAAACTGTTCAGCTAATGCCCGAGTTCCCCAATGAGTCTGTT